CATTTGTGCTTTTTCTCAGCTGTGTTCATAGCTATCCATAACCACATGTGACTGAGCCATAGGGCAGACATTCCTCCATGGACTTCATACCACAGCTAGGTCATAGAGATCATTGATCTAAATGTAAAACTGAAAACTGTCTCCATTTTTAGCAGGAGAGGACAGCTAGCTTCCCGTGTGCCTAGGTTACAGACGTGTACTACCATACCTGGCTTAAACGGTAAACTTTTAAAAGAAGACATGGCAGGGGGTTCTGGCTCAGCAGTTAAGAACACTGGCTGTTCTTACAGAGGACCTCACTTCAATTCCCAGCACCCACATGGCAGCTCAGAACTTTCTGTAATTCCAGTCCCAGGGGAGTTTGCGCCCTCACACATATGTGCATGCAGGCAAAACATCAGTGAACATAAAATTAAATAAGACATAGGAAAGTATTTTTCTATGTGTGGCTTGGAAAGAAGTCCTTAAGCTGAAATATCAAAAACATAATCTATAAAAGAAAATATGTGATAAATTGAATCATGTAAATTAAAATTTTATGCTTTGCATAAGACTATAGCTTAGTGAAAGAGTTCATTCTTAACATATGTGAGGATTGGGTTTAATTCCCTGCATTAAATGTATAAATTGAAAAAAAAATGAAAAATGGCCAAACAGCATAAAGATATTAGTTTACTCAAAAGGGTAGCAGATACCATACAAAAGTAGTTAGGTACATGTATGAAAACACTCACGTGTGAATGGGCCTGCCAATTATTTGCAATGGCCAAAGTCTGTGGACAATTATATCTTCTTTAGAATATGGTTGGTTAAGTTACTGGTAACATAGCCATACAATAGAATCCTATGTAAGGGTAAACCTAGCAGTCTCTAGTGTTCATGGTATTCTCAAAGTTCATATGTGATTCTAATTATGTAACATTCTGTGAGTGACAAAATAATAGGGATGGACAACAGATTAGTGATTGCCGGGAGTCAGAGATGCCGGGAAGAAGGATGTTGGCCTGAGAGAAGGTGGGATGCGAGAGGGGTTCTTTGTAGAAATGTGATACTCTGTATATTGATTATATTGGCTAAAAATCCACACAAGTGATAGACTGGCCTAGATTAAGTGTGTTGTACCTATGCCAGTGGCTACTTTTGATCTTGATGTTGTACTATGGTTATAAAAGATAGAATCGTAGAGAACACTGAGTGAATCTCTCTAAACTGTTCCTATAGCACCCTTTCAGTCTATTACATATTTCAGATTAAAAAGTTAAAAAAGACAGATCTTGTCATTAGACAGGTCAGTCTTGTTCACCACTTAGATGCTAATTCAAATGTTAAATTTCAATGCAGTAAAGTAATATTTACATCTGCTCTTTAATCACGTGTGTTTCAAGTCTAGCAGTGACGACTTTATTATGTCCAGAGGCAGAGCAGCACAGTCAGCACAGGAAGCACAGGAAGCACAGCACATGCCCTGTTAGTCATCCTCTTTGCAGTGGCAGACGACACAAGTGCTGGTACTCACACAGCCTACAGTTTGTAAGCCAAGAAGTAATGGTCTTTTCCAGTAAAATTAAAGAAGGTAAACTTACTTTACATGTATTTTTTTCTAAGTATTGCCATTTTTAGTGTGTAGTAATTAATACAGAGATTTATTGCTGGTCAAAATGTTGAGAATAAATGAATGTTAAATGTTTGTCCCTAACAAAACATAAATATCTAAGTTCAGAGAATACTGAAAAAAAAAAAGTTTGACACAGATTTTAAGAGCTTGAGGATGGGGGAAGCATCCTATGAAACACTGTCAATAAGGTATGTGGCTGATGTAATCATGAACACAAGACGTATGCACACACAGAAACTCCTAAGACACATAAGTAGAAAAGAACTAGGTAGATGAGGAATGGGAAGGACGTTTACAAGACGCAAGATTTTGAAATTGCCAAAAATGAAATTAAAATATTTTTAAACATTGCAATTTTGAGGGTGGCCTCTATTTTAATGGGGAAGTGAAATACTTGGTTCATGCCCCCCCAAATAAATAAAATATGTTTTTTTTTCTTTACTTACCTAAGCAGTTACAGTCTTTCTCCAAATCATAGTATAACATATATAGAAGATTGGCTTAAAAGGAGGAGGGTGCTATTAGGATGAAAGAAAGTCAATTTGAAGTGTTTTCTATACTCCATGCTTTGTGTTGCTTGCTGCTGGTGACTGACCACTCAGGGGCCACTTACCATCACAGAGGAAGTGCAAGCAGACCTAAAGCCTGAAGCTATTTCTGGGTCAAAATAACCTTGAGGAAGTGACCATTCTCTTCTCATTTTTCTCACTGTAAACCAGCTAATTAAGATCAAGTCAACTCACTGAGTGGATACAGGGCTTCAAAATGCTAGATGATGCCCCTGTTTCTCTGGGCTATGTCTGAAACTTAAAATTTACAAGTAGATTACATATGAAGTGTTGAGGAATTGAGTTATGAAGAGGATCCCGTGCTTTCTAAAGCAGTTTGTCAGGCCTGAACAGGACAGCAAGAAAAACAGAACCATAGAGTGTTTATTCAGGAAGCATCTGTGGGTGACCCATTTCCCTTACTGTGACATGGGCCTGAGAAGACCTCTTGGGGAGAGCTCTTGTGAGGATGTCCCTTAGTCAAGTTTACAGCTGTAGTTGCTGGTAGTGTTCATTGTATAAAGACATGGAGTAGCTCCTGTTACTCTACGTTCCTGAAATTTTGCGATTAGCGTCATAGTTTTGGGGATTGCTAATTATAGTATTAGAACAAATAGAAATTTTGGGTTTCTAAACCACTGTGAAATTTAAACATATGCAATTAAATTGGTCAAAATTACTTTGTTTAGAGTTATATCTGGTTTTATGAAGTCCAATAGAGCAAGCTGTAAGCCTTGAACATAGAAAACAGTACACTTTTATGAGGAATTTTACCCAGGACCACCTTTTTCCACAGCTCTATCTACATAGCACACAGACAATGAAAAAGATTCAGTCAGTGGTAAAGATTTACAAAACATCTACAATGTAGGGTTTCATTTGCTGTAAATTTCTATACTTTAAATCATTATTTGTATGCTTTAAATCATTATGAGATATTTCAAATAAAATTTTATTCTCTCTCTCTCTCTCTCTCTCTCTCTCTCTCTCTCTGTTTTGTTTTTTGTTTTTTTTTTTCTTCCTGTACTGCTGAAACATAGAGAAGGAGGTTTAAAAACAAACAAACAAAAACCCCCAAAACAAAAACAAAACAAAACAAAACACCCCAAGGTCATGGTGACCTATGTCTTTAATCCCAGTGCTCCAGAAGCTGAGGCAGGCAGAGCTTGGTGAGTTCAAGGCCAGCCAAGTCTACATAGTGAGTTCAAGGCTAGTTAGGGTTACCAAGTGAGGCCCAGTCTTCAACCAGCCAAGGGCCAACATACTCATTAATATCCTTCTCAGGCTGGAGAGATGGCTCCGCAGTTAAGAGCACTGACTGCTCTTTCAGAGGTCCTGAGTTCAATTCCCAGTAACTACATGGAAGCTCACAACCATGGGATCTGATGGTGAGTACAGCTACAGTGTACCCACATACATAAAATAAATAAGTAATTCTTAAAAAAAAAATCCTTCTTCTTGAAACATAACAACAGGGCAAGACAGTGTCAGTTTAGCCCATGGTATGCTGGCACATGGTCATTCTAAAGTTTTCTGCCAAATGCCTCAGGTACAGAGAGGGATCCAAAAATGTGGACATATCACAGACATGTGCCTGAACACATTGTCAATGTTTCTCCTACACGAGCAGTTAGTAAACCTGGATGAGGTTGGAGGCTTGAGTGGGTAAGTTTGGAAAACATCAGGCCCTGAGGTAGATGGGGTGGGATTTTACTATACCATTGCCTCACAGAAATCAGCTTGTAAATTTTAAGTGTTCACTGACAATACATGATTGTCATAGGTACATTATTAACTCTCAAATTCATTATTAATTCTCAACCTTTTGGAAGCATTACATTGAATGAGGGAAATTTTTAGAAAGGTGGGCTGTGGAGATGGCTAAGTGAAGTAGCTAAGCCTAACTAACAAGCTCATTGTATTCCTGCGACTCAGGTAAAGACAGAAGCAGAGAGCCAGTTCCACAAAGTTGTTCTCCGACTTCTACACATTCCTGGTGCACAAGCACACCTAGACCCTCAACACATTATACATATACACAATAACATTAAATTTATCTCCCACTATTCACATTGTCATGGACATTTGCAGTGAGACAATGTGTGAGAACTGTGAAGGGCACACAGCTCACCTCCCTGAAATCATGTAACGTGTAGTATCCAAGGCACCTTAATACAACAGGTATATTTTCCCAGCTGGTTTCTTCTGTGTTCCCACTTGCTGGTCCATAAGTTATTTTAAGTGTTCATTTTACTGTACTCACCAAAATCCCTCAAGTACTCAAAAGTTGTGGTTAATTTTTATTTTGGTTCTTTTTCAGAAGTACAGTAATTTATTCAAAAGATTATGAAACTGAACTGAGCCTATGTTTATAGCTTAAGTCTGACTATAACATAAAAATGTAACAAAGAAAGAGAAATTAGAATTTAGATTCTTATGCAGAAGTTGAGTATACTTGTGATTACTCTTTAGGTGTTCTAAGAAGCCTGTCTGGTAAGTAACCAAAATGTCCATTTTAACCAATAATCTTTATACCTAAAGGAATAGTGTCTTGTTGTAAACCTAATGACCGTGCCATAGTTAAATCACATTAGCCAGCATCGCCCTTCCTATCCCACCTACAGTGTTCTCTCCCTCTGATCACATGTTGAAATACTCTCTTGGGATTTTGAAATGTATTGTGTCCTCCTTTGGGGTGACTTCACAACTCAGCCAGTTATGAAACAACTCTGTAGTTCCTGTTATTTAGACATTTGTCACATCCAACATAAGATGCAGGCCTGCTATTGAAGACTGTAGACTGATCAAAACTTTATCTCTGAATGCCCAATGCAATTCTCTTTCCTCAAGAGGCAAGAGATAACTTCATTCGAAGAGAAACAGGTGCTGCTAGCTGTTATTTGAGAGGAATCTTTTATGGGGTGCGGTGAGTACTACCATTTTATGAGCACAGTTTCTGAACTATCTCAGGATGGGACAGCAGAGTTGTGGGGTATGTAGACTGAGTTGCCAGCATGTGGCCTCACTCAGCATTAGTGAGTGAAAGTTACTGTGAATCTTCATCAGGTTCTGTGCTGCAGATTTTTTTTTTAAAAAAAATATGTGTTATTTCTTGATTTCATTACCCAATATCTAATAAAAGGAGCAGCAGTTTTCTCTGTGGCTTATAATACAACAGTGTTTCCCAGCAGCCATAGGTGTGAGTTAAAAAGACTGGAGTATATCTGACGTCATCATCACTCTCCTCCTCCTTCTCTTCCTCCTTCCCCCCTCCCCCTCTTCCTCCTCCTCCTCCTCCTCCTCCTCCTCCTCCTCCTCCTCCTCCTCTCTGAGGCTTTTGTGAAATCACATATGATTTATCAGAATCTGAAGGCTATTTCATATGACCAGGTTTTCTCAATATTTTACTTTTGTAACCTTGTATTCTCTTATATATCACCAACTAAGCTAACACAGAGAACAAAACACAATTTAGGTGAATGTATTTATACAGAAAAGATATTTTTTTAAAAGATCAACTTTTGCTGAGCAAGAAATAGGGGGAAGAGCATCCCCGGGCCCATCTGGCATTACCTGCTGGTAAAACTTTGAGGCTCTTCCATGTCCCTACATGTATGTTGACTTTGGTATTTCTCACACCTCCATCACATAGTATTATATTATTTTTCAAGCTACTAAAAGTTATCTGGAAATTGCTGTTTCAGTTGCTTTATGATGTTATATTACAGGGTAGCACCTTGAGTTGTTTACACGTTCTGTGTTGTGATTTTGGCTTATAAATAACTTTGAGAAGAACACTACTATTTAAGACCATCTTGCAAGGTGCCTTGGGGCAAAACCCCACCTTACTTAAATTCTACATTATAGGATAGTAGTAGTAGCTGACCCTAAATTTATAAGAGTAGATATTGTATTTAGATTTTAAACATTTGAAGTTGTGGATCTTTCTTTTTATTAAGCTGTTACTTCCAAGTGTATCCACCAGCCTATTCTTTCTCCATAGTGACAAAGCAAGGTGAAATATAAAAGGAACATTTGCAGAGAGGACTTTTGAGGAAAACTGAGTAAGGACTGTAACCAAGGTTGATTCTTCTACTTTTCACATCTTTGTGAATGGAAGACTAGATCTATCATACAGGGTAAACTTAGCACAGGTTATAAAATCACTGATGCCTATTAAGTACACAGATCCATGAGGCTTCGACCTAAGTTTTCCTTTGTTTTACTAGGTTAGTAATGACTTGGGCACCTCTCAGTAACTCAGTTTCAATAAAAGAAATGCCCCTTGTCCTCTAGATTGTCATCATTTACTAAAAATGCTAGCCTTTGGCACCTAGATTTCAATGGCACCCCTGGTATTTTGATTGATAGTTCTGTCATTTGACATTAGCAGAATCAACTCAGATACTCAGATTTAGTTCTTTTTGTAATTTTACTTAAATTACCTCAAACATACACCACATTTTCTATTTCATATTATTTTGCCTAATATAATGTTCTCAGAACAGCACAGGACAAAGATTTGTGAATCACTCAGAGTGCTTCTTACTAACAAGTGGACATTTGTGGGGTTTAGCATGCTGAGACAAAATGACTTCCTATTGCTGAGTGGAAGCAAACTCTCAGGTCTTTCTACATAAGAACATTCCTCAAAATATCTTCATTGAAAGATCATGGGACTTTGAGTTATGATCCCTCTAAGTGAGTTAGAGGAAAGTATCAGTGTGGTTGTCCACCCAAGCAGTTCTTTACTGCACCGTTTGATGTGTTCAGTAACCTATACATAACCTATATATGGCAAGAGCCTTTTGTCTTTTCATTTGTAAAATTTCATTGATTTTTCTCAGTAACTAATTTTATCTTTAAGTAGGTATTAAGATGAAGAGGTTCATGTACAGGACTTGGTTCTGGCTATGATGAAGTAATACATGTTGGAAAACTTTCTTGCAAGTAAAAGACAAAAACTTAGGCCCAGCTAAAGGGGTAGGCAGGTAAAGGTACTTGCTCTTAAGCCTGAGTGTCCATGTTTCATCTCTGGGACCCAAGTGGAAGAAGAGAATAGACTCCCACAAATTGTCCTCTGATTTCCACGTATATGCCCTGGTGTGTGTGTGTACACACGTGTGCACGCACATGTACACACATATAATAAAATTTTATATGAATGAAAATTATTTCATTAGTATATTCTGTGGTTGTTTGCAACATATAAGCTATGACACCTGTATTAAAATAATATTAGAAAACTCTAAAGTCATTGGTGCAAGAATCTATGCAATAAACTTAGAGAAAGGAAATTAATTCTACTTGAAAGAAAACAGTGGTAAACATGAAAATCAAAGCTATGCTATAGACAAAACAAAAGAAGCAAAAGGTAATCTCTTGGGAAAATCTTACTATTGATTATTGATAAATATCTATCCAGGGATTAGAAATGAGAAGAAACAGTTCTGTTGCATAGATTCAACTCAGTTGTAAGTGACTTTATTATGTCAGTGAACCCTGCAACATATATAAAATAGACAAGTTGCTCTGAGGGATATACCAGGCCTAGGGACATAGGACAGGGTAGACTGCTTCTATTATGGACAGGCCCTGGATTTAATCCCTGCCATTGACCTGTAGGACATACATACTTAGTCAAGTAATATAGGAGCATAAACTGAACATTCAAATCTCTCTAAGTGTGCTAAACAAATTGAATTTGTTTTAAAAGAATCTTTCCGTACACTGTACCATGATGCTGACAGACCACATGGGAGAGCCTGTCAGGCTATGTGGCCTGTAAGCAAGTTAGCACGGTATTCTCGATCAGTGCTTGCCCATCACATTGATTAAGTGACATGGTACAAACTAGGAGTATTAACCTTGGGAAAAACAACTGATAATTCCTAATTCTTTCTTTAATTAGAAACTTTGATCTTTTCTTTAACTTACTTCTGAAAATGTGTGTCTTTCCTAATGAGAGAGCTTCAGTTTTTGTGTTTATAAAATTATATATGAATAAGTGTGTGTTGGGGTTTTCTGCGTGAACACATGAATCAGGCTGGGCATAAGTGGGGTTATACTGTTTCTGGACATGTTGCTTTAAACCATTGTGAGAATTAATTCAGATGATACTATGTTTAGCAATAACAATTTGGCTTTTGGTCCTAGAGCAGAAAGAGGGATAGAGTATCTGTATATGTTTATATATGTGTCTATGCAAGAGAGAGTCCTTTCTCTCTAACATGGTCCTCTGTTCAAACACCAAATTAAAGGGGTATGGATGTAGTTCAGTTAGCAGAAGACTTCCTTTTATGCTCAAAGCCCTGGGATCTATCACTAGTACTTCAAGTACAGCATATTGACACATGTTGTAACTTCAGCAAATAAGAGGTGGAGGCAGGAGGATGAAAAAGTCAAGTCATCCTGAGTTGTCTAAGAAAGCAGCCTTAGCAAACTATGAAGAGCATGTCAGTGACCAGCACTCCTCTGTGGTCTCAGCATCAGCTCCTGCCCCCTGGTTCTCATATTGAGTTCCTTCCCTAACTTCTCTGAATGATGAATTACAAACTATAATGAAAAAGAAAATTCTTCTAAATGTTGCTTTTGGTCAGGATAGCTCAACACCACAATAGAAAAGTCAACTAAGAAATTGATACCAGGTCAAAGGGCATTGCTCTGACAAACTTGACCTTATTTTATTGAGGAGATTACAGTGAAATTTGAATTTTGGGCTGGAAAAGCTGTTAAGTGTTCCAGGCTCCGTGAGTTATGTGAGTGCTTGGAAGATAAAATGGATGAAAGAAATGTAGACAGTGGAGGCATTGCTTGTGAAGGTTTAGAGGGAAGCAAATACTCTATCAGGATTGTTCATGTCATATTTTGAATTAAGAACCACTACAGTGAAACCTTTGCTTTACTAGAACAACTGATGCTGGTCAGATGGAGCTTAGAAATTAGTAGTGACTAAGAGGAAACCAGTGTCACTGAAGATCATAAATCCAAGAGTACTTCCTCAGGGCCAGCATATAGAAACTGTGATCCAAAGAGGTCAGAAGCTATATCACGTGCTGGCAGCTGAACTTAGAAACCTGTAGAGTCACCATGGTGCTGGTATTGGAGGTATGAAGGAGTCAAGGAGAGCAGCTGAGGTTTGGCACTGTGCAGAAGGCACGGAGTCCTTGAAGAGAGACCACGAGGTATTTGAAGGTTAAGCCTCAGTTGCAGTAAAAATTCTAGGATTGAAGGCATCATGGAAAAAAGTTGAAGCTTGACACAATATGGCAAGAATTGATCAGTGGAGGTTCAGCACAGTTGCAGAGGCCCCAGCACTTTGGTGATGCCTGTAACATGGGCTGAACAACAAGGACAGCAGCAGCCATGGAGTGGAGCCAGCCTGAGGCAGAGAAACAAGCAGGCTCTTAAGTTGCTTTTATCAGGTACTTTGTTACAACAACGAGAAAAGTAACCAAGAGAGTTCCTAGGAGGTTAGCTTCAGTGAGAAGGGCTAGAGTAGCCATTTCCATATGATGGAAGGTTGTAGAGAACTCTGGGAGTTTTGGAGTGCTGTGAGTGAGTTGTTTATTAACCATGTAGAAGAGTCACTAGATGGGAGATTTTTAAGAGTCTGGAATTCTCAGGGCTTAAAGTAAGATCTTTGGAAATTGAGAGTATATTTATTTATAGTGAATTTTAAAAGCTTGAAATGGTCAATGCTTTTAACCATTATACTATTGCTTCTTTCACATAAAATTTTCTTTAATATTTCCATCTTTTTAAAAAAGTCAAATAAGGAAGGAGTATAAGAATGGGTAATGGGGGCATAAGATAAAATACATCATATTACAGTTGAAAGAATAAATAAGCTTAAAACATTGTAAATAAACTATGACCCTTTCTTTTTCTTGGGATCTTTGGACTGGATCTATCTGTCTTTCATTC